CTGCTCGGATCGTCGTTGCACTTTTAGGATTTTGACACTGTTCAACCACCCTGCACCATCAAATGTGGGCATGGGAGCTGTTGGTGCCTTTTCCATCCGTGCAAAGAGAGACTCAACGAGCGCGCCTCTGTCATCTTCCCATTCTCGTCGTTCCTGTCAATGAGTGCCACGATCAGGTGTCGGTTGACTACATCACTGACCTTGGCCTTCTTGTTGGGCTTCCTTGCTACTTTCGGTGGCGGAGGGCCTGCCTCCTTGGGCCCGCGTTTCCGCTTTCTTACCGGAATGTCCTTGGCGGCACTCTCGTGTGAGTAGCCTTTGGTTGGCTAGTATCTCCTTTACCTTGTTCGCAAATCCTCCCGTCGACGCCATTGCGAGTTTGCTTGCGAAGTGCAGACTTTCTTCCTCGATCCTTTGCTCTGCCCAGGCTAGCTTTTCCTTTTGCTCTTGGAAGAGGGTCGCTTGTCCTGGAGCAGGCTCCTGTTCCTGAGGGCTGCCTTGTATTGTGCCTTAGCCTTCATCCCGTCGCTTGTACGCTTCCACCCATCCCTACGCGGGGAGTTGGAACCTGGTATAGGCAAGCGGGTATGGCTTGTTTCGGCCTATCCAATACCTAAGCCAAAAGACAAAGTCAGCTAAAAGGAAGTCCTACTTGTACGATCTCACAGTGTTGGCTATAGTCGAAGCTTTGAAAAAATGGCGTGTATCGTGGAATGTATTATTTTTGAGCGCAAGGCAGGTAGAAAAGAAGGTTTCTTAATATCCATTTACAAAAATAATAAGCCGTTGGAAGCTTGTCCGGTTGACCATGTAGGACCCATAGAGCAGACCAGCAAGAACTGCAAGTTGTGAGGGTGCTATTATTTGAAAACGATGTAAATGTTTTAATTTGGATCAAGCGCTATACAACCGATCCGGTAACGCTAAGTTAGATAAGTTTGCAGGTCCCCATCTTTGATATTCGCCCTAAGCGTGTGTCAAAACTAAGTTGTGAATGAAATCTTCGAAGTCAATTGCAAGGCCTAAAAAAAATTTTGCTAAAATAGTTATATGCTTAATACCGCTGTAAATCGTAAATGGCTTAGAAAATATATATTATTAAGATTTGATTTGATTTTTTAAGCCTTTCATCGTGATATTAAATTGCGGCTATACACTCAAAATAAAATATAACCTAAAATTCTTTCGAATGTAAAGGAAATTTTTTTTAAATATAGGATAAACTAAAATCGCCCTAAAAACAAGTAAAACAAGGAAGAACGCTGTAGTCGAGTACCTCGACTATCATATACCCGTTACTCTGCTAAAGGGACCAAGAGGAAACGGAAATATGCAAGCAGCAAAGCGAGATTAAAATGCGCCCCCTACCGGCGGCAGACAGATTGAAGCGTTATGGGCGTTAGAGTGGGCGTGGCAAATTTTTTTTGGATCAATAGATAGGTATTGACGAGAACAATACATTGCAGTTAAAATTTTTATTCTAGCATCAAAACTGTAGGAGCCACAGTTTTGGGCGGTTTGTGGGAGTGGCACATTGCTAAAACAAACTGGCGCTGCGTAAGAAGTTCAGCAATCTGCACGCCAAATCTCAATAGCCTAGCTCTTATAGTTTCCGAGATCTCAGCGTTCATCCGGACGGACAGGCAGACGGACAGACGGACAAGGCTAGATCGACTCGGCTAATGATCCTGATCAAGAATATACATACTTTATGGGGTCGGAAACGCTTCCTTCTGCCTGTTACATACTTTCCGACGAATCTAGTATACCCTTTTACTCTACAAGTAACGGGTATAAAAACATTTTATCTGGAAATTATTTCCTAAAAAATAAAAAGGCCAACGAAAAAATAAAATTTTTTTTTTAAATGATAACTTCAAATTGAATCTTACCTTAGGGTACAGAAACATTTTCTAAAAAACAGAAATATTTTCTGGAAAATATAAATGTAAATGTTTTTGCATGATTTGTCGTACCAAAATATTACATTGAAGAACTTGTCAGCGGTTGGGCTGCTGTATCGATAGCACAGACGGTAAACGCGTTAGGTTAGAAATCGATGTGACGCAGGCTCGAGTCCCAATGACACTCTTTTTTTGATGAAAAGTATCACAATGTCAGAGTTAGAGTGGGCGTGGCATATTCGTAAGAAACTTGCGCTGCGCTCAAGGCTATGGATATTTTCCACGTTGTTATTTACGATTTTTTGAAGTTTGTGGGCGGTTTGTGGGCGATAAAGTGGGCGTGGCAAATTTTGTTTGGGTTAACTCTTCAGGTTTATCCGAATGCGCCGAAATCTATGAAACCCCTGTTTGTGGAAGATAAAATCTTTTTATTACAAATGAAGAAAGTTTTGAATTTAATTAACGATAAATAACACGTGCAGAAAGTACACATCAAAACAAGGACGACTATTAGATACCCGTTACTCAGCTAAAGGGACCAAAGGGAAATGAAGATATGCAAGCAGCAAGGCGAGATTAAAATGCGCCACCTACCGACGGTATACAGATTTAAGCGTTATGGGCGTTAGAGTGGGCTTGGCAAATTTCAATCGATAGGTATTGACGAGACCAATACATTTCAGTTAAAATTTTTTATCTAGCATGAAAATTATGGGCGTCACAGGTTTTCGCGGTTTGAGGGCGTTAAAGTGGGCGTGGTAAACTTTTTTTTTGGGTCAATCGATAGGTATTGATAAGAACAATACATTTCAGTTAAAATTTTTATTCTAGCTTCAAAACTGTAGGAGCCATAGTTTTGGACGGTTTGTGGGCGTTAGATTGGGCGTGGCACTCTGCTGAAACAAACTTGCGCTGCGTAAGAAGCTCAGGAATCTGCACGCCAAATCTCAAAAGCCTAGCTCCCATAGTTTCCGAGATCTCAGCGTTCATCCGGACAGACAGACAGACGGACAGACGGACATGGCTAGATCGACTCGGCTAGTGATCCTGAATAAGGATCAATAGAATCAATATATATACTTTGTGGGGTCGGAACCGCTTCCTTCTGCCTGTTACATACTTTCCGACGAATCTAGTATACCCTTTTACTCTACGAGTAACGGCTATAATAAGACAAAGCACATTTAGGTTTGTTTGGCTAGATCGCGTTAGGTCTTATTCCAGCGACTTAAAGTTAGAAGACAAATGTGATTTGTGTTTGCCATAACTATTACACCGATTTCCGCCATCCTTTCTATAGATATACGCAGCATATTGTCCTCTAGTTAAAAGCTCAATACATTGATATGGAAAATTTATGAGCAGAACTGCTTTTTAAGGCTGCGTATACACTGGGGCTTACTTTTTTGTTTATCGGCATGACTTCTGATCATGGTATTAGGGTATTCTCGCATAAAATCTAACACTAGGAAATTAATTGTCTCTTTAAAAACTATTAATATCAAGCAAAAGTACCTCTTAATGAGGTATTAAACTATCGACGATTGCACATTCAACATGCAAAACTTCTGATAACAACTATTGTGACGAAAATGTCTTATACGAACTACTAAATAAATGTACTTCCAAATTTTTCTCGTTTGGCACGCTTTATCAAGACCGTACAGATAATTGCCTACGCAGGCATATTGTATTGCGGCGTTCCGAATGAGAAATATTTAGAAAGTGTATTTATCTAGAAGTTCGGCTTCGAATGAATACCAAAAGTGTTGCGAGAGTTTTTTATTTGTTTCTTGGCCAGATCGAATAGACTAGTGATTCTGATCAAGAATATCTAATCTTTAAGGGGTCGAAAACGCTTTCTTCTACCTGTTACATACTTGGTTACATACTCTTTTACTCTTGTCTACTCTCCGAGTAACGGATATAAAAACACCTTTAGTTTTATTTATTTTCACAACTTTTTTCTTATTTTAAGACATGATTTCTCTTAACACTAACATTAACAAACAGAAATTTTTTCTGGTCATAAGAAATTTCAAGTTTCAAAGACGTCTCTGTTAGAACAAAACAATCATTTTCTTTAAACAAAGGTGAGTAGCTTTTGATGAAAACAAAAAAAAGTTTTTTCTTGCTGTTAAGTACGCAAATCCATTTAGTTAAAAATATTTTCTTTTAAAGTATCAAAAAATTTGCAAATGCTGTTACTTATTCCTTGATGTATGTATATGGTAAAATAATTTTAAAAACGGTATAAAAATGCATGCTGTTTTTTTGCCGCAGCTGTATGTGTACGTTCTGTTTCCTAAATTTAAATCCATCCAAGATAGAAGATTGGCGCTAAAATTAGACTTCGATTTTGAGAGGGCTCGAGCCTTGGAGTTTCGAGCAAAACTTTTTAATCAAAACGGCAATTTGAAAATATAAAGGACAAACTTTTCAATCTCCCAAACGTCTAAGAGCTGTCAACGGCCAATTTCGCTCATTCGGCTGCCTCCCAAGAGAAATGTACTGCCTCTGGTTCATTCCAGCTTAAAGTGGCTTGGCAGGAGTCTTTTGCCGCGCGCACACTGTAATTTCTTCTTCTTCTTAAAGTTCTCCATTACTTTTTGAGTGGAATGCTTTACTTTTGACTTGGTGGCCACAAAAGTTTGCTCCACGGGTCTGGCGGCAGCGTTCAATGCATTTGGGCTAGGCAAACTTTTAGCGTGAACTTCAGGGAAGGAACGGGTGTTGTTGGGTGTGCCCAAGTGCATCAAACTCACTGCGAAATAAATAGCGACGAGGCGCTCAATATAATGTTGACAGAAAGTGAGATGCAAGTCTTCAGCAAAAAGTCGAAAATTATTGGCGCACCGTTCAGAAAAGCTGGCAACTTCCGAAAAATAGTCAGTCGATTGTGTACGTTGTGCCAACAATAGAATCCAATATGGCGTGTTGGCGAGCTGCTTTTACAATGGCTTTCGATTTGCTAGGAAATTTTGTGATTGATTGATTATTGCAGAGACACTGCCCACTTTTGTATAACTTACCGAAATTCCCTTTCAAACCCCTTTCGTCCACAAGATAAATGAGTACCGGATTGCACAGTTATTATTTGAATTACATTTATTTATCCACGATAATCACTTGATTTATTTGAATGATTTTGTATTGTTAGCCATGCATTGCTGCTTTGGTATTTTCTGTTGCCCCAACTCTTTGTATCTGTGCATGCAAGCACAATGTAGTTCTGGTTAGATTTATTAATATGTGAACTATTATTAAATTCATATTCGTCAAATGGTTGCAAGTTAAAAATTGTGCTCGAGCACTTACATTGAAAACATTCTAAACTGGTTGTTCAATTACTTTTGCTCTGCATCCACACCAAGAGTAATGAAATAACCTATTACAATTTATATTTGTTTTCGTATGTGATCTTTATTTAGAGAGAAGGTCCTGTATCAGGCATTCGACATACATACGAATGTTAATACCAAATATTTTCAGTGGAAATGTTAACAGTGAAAACCAAAAAAAAGTTTAAATATAATTATGTTAATTTTAATCTATTCAAATAACTTTTAAATTGTCCAACAAGCATTAGGCATACACATACAGACAAGAAGGCTGTTGAATCGTTTTTGGATTTTCTGCATAATCCATATTTTGACTTTTGCATTTTAATGATTAAGCTACTTTTTGGTTTTGCTGTAGTTTTACATTAATGGATGTCTTTGAACTTTAAATGGTATCGTCTATCATTTTTTAATTACGTACCGGCAATGAACAAACGGTTTTTATTCCTGGTGTAAGTCTGAAGACAAATCGATTCGAATTGGGGCGTATACTCTATATTGTATTCTATCGAAAGTGCAGACAGCAGCCATTGGTGGAACCAGCCTTTGTTTAATAAACAGTCGAGAAATTGTACATAATTTGTTACGTAGATGATTTTTTTATGATTGAGGTGATTCAGCTCGTTCGCACAGGCAGGAAACTAACGCGAAAACATCAAATAACATTTTTAAGAAGTATTCCCTGCCAAAGCTATTTCAGAAATTACAGTTTTTGAGCTCGAGATGCGAGTACGTGTTTTAGATTTCAATTATGTTTCGATCTAGATGTCTGCTCGTAAAGTAATTTTTTTTAATTTTCTGATTTGGCAGATTACTGCATTTCATTAACCCATATTTGACCCTAAAGATAGTTTTTCGCCTCGACGCGTTCCTTTATGTCTTCTGTGTTTTTGCTATAACTTACAGCTTGACTTTGACAGTTTGAAGGCCCATAAAGCATCTCCATTAGGGCGGGTAGATTTGGTAGCCTAAAAATCGTATGTGGGGAAAGTAAACTTAAAAGGATTCTAAGCAATATTGCCGAACAAAACTATCGTCTCACATGAAAAATACTGCTTTTCACTTGTACTACAAAATTTAAAAACCATATTTTTCTGTTTACAATTATAATGTAGGTCTTTTGTCTATTTTGATATTTTTCCTAAAAAAACAGTATTTTTCATTCGCTTTCGGGAGGGGGTGGGGGTGGGTTAAACGCCGTTTTGGACCATAAGTTGGTTCGGCCATAATGCTTAGAATCCTTTTAGGATTACGTTTCCCACATACGCGATTTGCGTATTTGTTTTTGGCGCCATACAAATCGTCCTGCCCTAATCTACGTAATCGTACACCTCTCATCCGTTCACATTCCCGTCCACGTGCCATGTCCAATATATTGCACATTTATTAGTAGGCTGTGTGCCTTCTGGTTGATGCTGTCGGAACTATATGATTTATTTTTTACTTGTATTTACATATTTCAAATTTGTGTATAGCACAAGACTGAATGTTGTATGTTGCTTGTGTGTGCTTGCTTTGCCATTTGCTTTAAAGTTTATTTACAAACATAATAAGATAAATATGAATATGGGTTTATCATCTCGTTTTTATTCCCGCTAACGTTAATTTGGCCCTGGTTGTTGCTTCTGGGCTACAAGTTTCCGTCTTAATCTAGTTAGTTTTCAATTAGCAATTATTAACTGGGATAATAGCGTTTTAATACGCGTTATGATTCATAAATACCCAATTTGATATACTCAAATTGGCTAACTATGCAAATACCACTTACAGCAAAGATTTTTTGGGGTCGCAAAGCAATAAAATTGGTTAAAAAAAAGGCATTTGAAATAAGCACTATACATTTACATAACTTTGTTGATGGCAACAGGGTAATTTATGGATAGTATACAGGATATTTATAAACGAAATTCAAATATTTTAAAATCCTTCAACATACTGTACACAATTATTGGTAAGTAAACTATATTAGTACTTATCTCGACTTGTCCGTATTTTAATCAATCATGTCTGCACAGAAACTACGATTGGCTTAACATGATTTTTACACTTAAGTGCGCAGCTTATACTGAGCTTAGCTTAGCAATTATTCTAGACTTTGTGTTATTCAGTTACTAACGTTGTTTCGGCTTGCTTTAAATCAGACACTGATATAGCTTAAATAGGAATTCCTTGTCATCGTTTTCCCGCTTCCTACAGCTGGCCAAGATGTCCACTTAAGTCAGAAAGATGCGTCTGATGGAAAGGACGGTATTTAGGACTGCTTTTAGCCTAATATAAGGCGTTAGATATGACCACTCACCTGACAATAACCGTGTTCAGCAGGAAACAGGGTGCCAACATTGACTTAAATATGTGCGTCAGACGGTCGGCCGAAGAGGTTTTCCGACGGGAGATTGCTGCCATATTGTCGCCTGCAGGTGACATTAGGGTAAATTTGAATTTGAATAGAGCAAGAATTTGTTTAGTGACAGACAGGCAAATGCAATTATGTGCACCAACAACCGTGCTCTGCGTTTCCCATTTTCATGTAAATACGGTGCTGGTCATTTGCATAACTTTCATTTACACGTCGTAACGTCGCATGGTGTCTAAGTCACAAGAACAGCAGTTTGGGGTGGCAGCAAAAGGGCAATAGTGCACACTATATTTCGTCGCCTTTTTTAAATAACATAAAAAACTGTGTAAAATTAAAATTAAATGAAAAACCATACATTCATAACCGAACACTATATACTTTGGTAATACTCTAGTTTACGGTTCTCACCCCCAAAATTCGTGAAAAAATTATCATCGACGGACCGCGCATTCTTAAGAACTTACATGAAATAAAGGCGCGGTCTGTCATGGTTCTCTTGTAATCGAATTTCAAAGTTACGTGTTTTGCTATAAAAATAAAATAGCCTTTTCTATGATTTTGAGTGTTTTGCTTTAAAAATCAGAACTGCTTTTTATCCCTTTCAAAATAATAAGCGATCTATATAATGTGACAAAAATGTTTAATTGTTTTAGTAGTATGCCCACAGCCACGAATTAAATATCAGCCGCGAACTAAATATCCTCGATGGACCGCGGTTCCTTAAGAATTCGCGTGACCATTAGGCAAATTAAGCAAATTAAAAAACCGCAACAGTCACTAAAATTTTATTAAAAACAAGGAAGAACGCTATAATCGAGTACCTCAACTATTAGATACCCCTTACTCAGCTAAAGGGACAAAACGGAAATGGAGATATGCAAGCAGCAAAGCGAGACTGAAATGCGCCACCTACCCCTGATCACAATATGTATATGTATGGTTATGTGGGCGGTAGACAGATTTAAGCGTTATGGGCGTTAGAGTGGGCGTGGCAAACTTTTTCTTTGGGCAATTGATAGGTATTGACGAGAATAATACATTTAAGTTAAAATATTGTTTCTAGCATGCAAATTGTGGGCGCCACAGGTCTCGGCGGTTTGTGTGCGTTAGAGGGCATGTTCGCGTAACAAACTTGCGCTGCAATCTAGGGTACGGAATTTAATCTGAAATCCCAATTCTCTATCTTTGATAGTTTCCGAGATATCCGCGGTCATATTAACGATTTCTTGAAGTTTGTGGGCGGTTTGTGGGCGTTAAAGTGGGCCTGAAAACTTTTTTGGGTCAATCGATAGGTATTAATGAGAACAATTTCATTTCAAAATAACAAAATGAAACGTAGGCCTAATTAGAACATTTCAAATTTTAAGTCCCTGCCATCAAAAATGATGTCGCGAGGCAGAACTCTGCGATATTTGCGTGAGTAATGGATTTAAAAACATATAAGGAATATATTAGTGCTGCGTTTGAATCTTCTGTCTTAAATTTTATTAAAACCCGAGTAAATTATTTTCCTTTCACTCACCTTTCGAGACAAAGACGTAGATGCTCGCCGGCTCCGTGTTGCTGGCCGAGCAGCTGTAGTTGCCGGAGTCGGTGATCTGCGGCTCTCGAATGATCAGGCGGCTCTGCGTTCGGAGTCCCGGGGTCGTCTCAATGGTTATGTCCCGTCGGGAGTCGACATAGTTGATCAGGCGATCGTTCTTCTGCCAGTACACGTACTGTGGTGGTGTCGGACTCTGTGCCAAGAAGGTGAATGGTGGTTCAGCAGGACTCCTTTTCAACTCACCTCCCGACTTACCTTTTCAATAATGCAAACCAAATTGATTGTTGAGCCCATGTCAACATGAAGCTCGCCGGAGCCCAGAATAAATGCCTCCGGCACAACCACTTGAAGATTCACAAAGTGGGAAATGATGCCAGTCGGCGTCGAGACCTGTGTGTTGGAGATTGTTTTTGTGATAGTAAGTACAAGGAAAATGGAGAGCAAAAGACCGAAGAGTGGAAAGAGAAAGTGTGGCAGTTGAGTGCGATTGGTATTCGCAATGTACTAGAATGTTAATGCTTCAGTAAACTACGAGCAAGAATAGCCAGCCAGCTTCATAAAATCGTTGTGAGTGCAAGAAATGTTGCGCTCATTGAAATGCAAATCAAACAATTTCAATTTGGCACGCAAAAATGAAACAAAAACGAACGGATTTTATATAAGTAGAGCACTTCCCACTCGTCTCGACTCGGAGTTGTTCTCCAAAATATCCGGCAGGCAACGGTCGCAGCTGTAGATTCTCTGGGTTCGCAATGGAATACTGAAATAATTATTTTGGCATATTTGCATGTAGCTCTCGTTTGCTGCTCAGCCTCCTAGTCCGTATTTCGGTGCCGTGAGTCCATAGTCTGAGGACGGAAGACCGGAGTCCTGAGGGGCAACCAGACAACCCGCCCCACTGACTCTGAGGCCGGCATACGGCTTTTTATATTGAAATTGCATACAAATTGCACTCCGGCTTCTCGCTTACACCATCCATCCATCAAAGCCTCCATACCGTCAAGTGTCCATTTCAGCAGTTAGTTGTCTTCCCTACCCCGAATCCCCTCCAAAGCCCATTTTCTTACTCTCCGACCCCGAGCTCGACATTTCCGTGTTTCCATTCTCATGACTTGCCTTGCTTCGTTAGGCGGGAAGGCGGGAGTTCTTGGTCTCGCAGGCGGGGTTCGGTTTATCAGGACCCGTGTTTCTGCCAGATCCCTCGCAGCCTAATAGCTGACAGTCACACGTTTCTGGCTGGCCAAACAATCAGTCCTGTCAATGTCACCGACCCGATCCCAATCGCAGTCCCAATCTGGAAGTCCCCTTGCCAACGATAGCGGACCAGAAGGCCGCGGCAGTTGCCTTAAATCAAACCATTCCAAACTTGATTTGTATTTTACAATTAAATCATCCACAAGAAAGAAAAGCAAAAGCCTGAAAACCTCAATACAACGTTGAAAGAAAAAGGGGCGCATTGAGGAGAAACGAGCGCAAATACAAATGCACGATAGTTTATTTCAACTGCGGCGAATGCATATAATATGGACCCATCATTCTGGCCGCGCCCAGTCGTTATCCGCCCACTCACCTGGCACTCGTACATGCCGTGATCCCGGCGCTGCACAAACTTTATCTGCAGCGTCCACATGTTGGAGCCGGGCGTGTGCAGTATCGCGAATCGCTCGTCGTTCGTGTAAAGCTGGGCCCCCGACGACAGGATGTGCCAGTCCCGGCGGCGGATCCAGGATATTTGATTCTGTTGACGAAAGCCAATGCCGAGCGCATTATAAACGAGCGGACGAATTGGTACCAGTACACACAGATAATTAATATTACTAGGGAAAAGGAGGATTGTAAGGATAGATAAGGATAGTTTGTGACCCTAGCGGCTATCCGGCTCGTTTAAATCTGGACCCGTTTTATATGAAGATACCGTAGAACACTAGAGGGCGACAGTAATAATATAAGCTTTAAACGCTATCAATTGTAGATGGTATTAATTAATTTCTTTCATTTGATAAAGTATTTTTATTCTGTTCGACCCACTTTATTGGACTTCAAAATGGTGCAGAAAAAAGACATAGCCAATGGAACAGCCTTTCCAATGAAAAAACTTTCGTTGTGTTGACTCATTATTTATAGCTTATATGATCAACCAAACTTTTCTTACTATCCTTACCCCACTCTCCCCTACAAGTAACCAACGCAAACAGATCAGCTCATGCAGTCAGTTAAACATGCACATGATTTTCGAAAAGTAAAACTTAATGAATGTGGCAGGTGTACAAACTTAAGGTAAAGCAGAGAAACGTATATACCTACATGTGACTAAAAGAGTCCAATAGAACGTTTTTTAAATGTTCTGTGATTTAAAATAACTACTGTACACCCAGAAAAAAATAATGAAAAAAATCCAGAACATTTTTCATGATTTGATAGCAAACCGTTCGCTATGTTGCGTTCATAAAAACGAACGCCACGGGGCAATTCATGAACATTTAGGTGAAATAATGATCGCGTCACTGAAAAATTCCTTGACAGATTTGGAAAGAACACCGTTCTCATAGAGTAATGAACTATATAGAGGCGCCAATTGCTCTGCCGCTCTCTTTAGATAATGAGGCTATGATGCCACCTAGGCGAAAAAAGCATATTTCCCCTCTTTTTGTAAAGTTCGATCGAACTTGTAATTCATTCCCACCTCATTCTGCACCGCTCTTGCTCACTGTTTTGTTTTTGTTTTTAATCGAAATCCCTATTGCTGTTGCTTCGCACCTAAGTTAGCTTCAAACTTGGCCTTGAATGGGCTCTTAGCAGAGGTTGGGCAGAGGATCGGGCAGAGCAATTGAAGCCTCTATATACCTTTTTACTCTATGCCGTTCTTAAATTATCAACACCGCTCATGAAAACATGTATGTAGGCTTAGTGTCCCGATTGTCCGTACTTGAAAAATTCGTTCGGTGATCCAGCTGCTAGAGCGTTCGTCTTTGACACATGGTAGGATAGGTTCGAGTCCCCGGGATGACGGTTGTGAATTGTAAGTTTTATTAAAATATTATTTCTAATGTTTATATGTTTAGGTGTATTAGAATATGTTCATTGGAAATAATGAAAAAAAGGCTGTCATCAGCCAAATATCAAAAAAAACAAATAACAATAACACAAAAAGTAAGGAAAATAAATATATGTCTACCTGTCGACCAGGAAAACTAGTTTGCACACAAACCTCGTTTTTTTATATTTTCCTGTTCTTAAGTTAAGCCCGAAATGTTTTTAAAGTGACTTAACCTTGTTTAGGCTTGATTTCGAATGCATTTTATTCTGAGTGTAGATAGTTTAAAATTTTGTTTAAGTCTTTCAAAACAACGGCTATATTAACATTAAGAAATTATATTTATCAAAGAATAATTGTTCTTCAATTTGAATCTAAATAAACTAACGTTAGTGAACTACCGAAACCGAATGTTAAATAATTTGTTTGTTAACTGTAATCCTGCCAAACGTTAGCTTTTTTAAAGCTTAATTTTTTGTTAGCTTAATTTTTTTTCGCTGTTTGAGCTTGACTGCTTTACAAATTAGATTTTTTTTCCCGCATTCTGGGAAACAAAAAGTCAAATGAAAATGCCAAATAATTAGGCAGAGAAATTAAATAAAAATTAAACCCAAATACGATACGCGTATAGGATTTCAGCAGCAGCTGTGCTCGCAGCAGATCCTGCCCGACTATATGCTTTAAGCTCGACGGGAATTCAAGTTCGCAGCCACTAAATAAAGCGCTTTTTATGCAAGACATACTTGGAGATTGGTGACTTTGGATTTAAAGACGGAGACGTGGGATATCATGTATGGGGGGTGTAGTGGAGTACAGGAGGCGTGCACATTGAACAGAATTGAACAGAACGGAACAGAGAGTTACAATTAGAGAGACAAAAACAAACCCAATTTACACCCACTCTGTCCACGCCGGAGACCTTGCAGACCAGAAAGGCAGTGCCACCCAGCTGGACGGTTGTGTTGTGAGCCATCAGCTTTTAGAAAGGAAAAATTGGAGAAAAGAAGCAAAAGAGAGGGAGAGAAAAACACAAGACAAAAAGTTAAAAGTTCATTTTTTACGGTGTTGATCTCAAAGCTAAACGCGCCAAAGTCGCAAAATTAGTGAGTAAAACAGCGCCATCACGGGTTCTACACCGTAGCTATCCAGACAGGACAGGGACGACGCAAAGAGGTTTGGCCGTGAGTTCTGGTGTCTGGAGAGTTTGGCGTTTTAGATATTTGGATGATTAGAATCGAGCGCTCGACTTAAGCACTATTAATTAATTAGTCCCAGATCCGGATCACGCTCGTCTCCGCCCTGCTGGTTATTAGTGTTATACCGGTGAGCGCTTGCACGACTTCATCTCCTTTGGACCTTCTGAATTTTTTTTGCAGCGGCAGTAACATTTTGCTGGGTTAGGGGAAACTGTTTTGCTGACGAAACTGGCTATTGTCCTTGCTACGGATATAGACTTGGGTCACGCAGCATCTGCGGTCGATTCAATTTAAATTTGTATTCGACAACAGTTTATTGCATTCGATCGGCCAGAAGAAAAGGGACCATCTGTCATTTAAACTTACCTCACTGTCTTCGAACATTGGACTGTCGCTCGTGTCGAGATTATTATCCTGTTTTGAATCGCCATTAATACCGCCGCGCATCCATAACTTTTTCCAATCGTTATCTGTGAGTATTGACTTTTGATCTGAAATCAAAAAAAAGAGCGGGCGCGAGGTTTAGACAAAGCTAATTGCAGAGTGCAGTAGAAAATTGTACAAAAGGCTTGGTTGATTAATGCAATTCGAATGTAATCAGCAAAAGTGTCTGGGGTGGATTAGCTGGCCAACGAATGTGATAGGTCTAGTGACTTAAGCAATCTAGTCCCCATTCAGGTCAAAACACTCACTTTCCCGCACATTCCGCTCTAAAGAGTCCCGTCTAATCAAAATCTAGTGAAATGTATAATCAAACAAAAACACCTCTTAGCGAGGTAAAAATCTAGTGAAGATCGCACCGTATACAAACATAAGTTCTGATATCAATTTTGGTGACGGGTCAATCAATAGGTATTGACGAGACTAATACATTTCAGTTAACATTTATTTTCTAGCATGACAAATGTGTACGCCCAGGCTTGGGCGGTTTGTGGGCATGGCATATTGGCGTAATAAACATGCGCTGCGTACAAGGCTACGAAACCTAAATCTATAATCCCAATTCTCTACCTTTGATAGTTTCTGAGATATCAACGTTCATATCTACGATTTTTTGAAGTTTGTGGGCGTTAAAGTGGGCGTGGCAAACTTTTTTTTTGGATCAATCGATAGGTATTGATGAGAACAATACATTTCAGTTAAAATTTTTATTCTAGCATCAAAACTGTATAAGCCACAGTTTTGGGCGGTTTGTGGGCGTTACAGTGGGCGTGGCGCGCTGCTGAAACAAACTTGCGCTGCGTAAGAAGCTCAGGAATCTGCATTCTCTGCGTTCATCCGGACGGACAGGCAGACGGACAGACGGACATGGCTAGATCGACTCGGCTATTGATCCTGATCAAGAATTCTTTATGGGGTCGGAAACGCTTCCTTCTGCCTGTTACATACTTTCCGACGAATCTAGTATACCCTTTTACTCTACAAGTAACGATATGATATGTTTAAAACGAATTCCATAAACCTGATCCAGGCGTGTAACGGACTAACGCCGTATTTCAAAGAGTCAGGTTTAGGTTTAAAAATTTTAGAACTGAAATCATTAATGTGCATAAGCGCTTTTGGATTTATAGCACATATAGGACAACATTGCGTAGATTTCGTATTTGTTAAAACATTAAGTACCTTGCCGTCAATCAATGTCATATATGTTTTAAAATTAACCGAAATGTTTGCGCTATGTGATTTAAAATTGTGCAAGTTTGCTACTTGCATATCTAAATTATGCTTTTCTTCTTGGATTTTTGCAATGCTTTCTTTAGCGTATTCAATTTTAATCGGCCTGCAGAAGCGTACAGACTGGGGGCTTTTGTTTACCCAAATTAAACGATTTAAAGAATCCACTAATCTTATTGGAATCATAGTTGCCACGAATAGAGAACTGTCGGAAGAATCGGGTTCATCAAAATCGAATTTCTGTTTATAGGAACTTTGACCGGTCGACCCATCAAATCCATAACATGCAATAAGTGTGCACTCTGTAACATTTTCCATTTGTTCCAAAACTTCCTTTTGTAAAACTAAAATTCGTTCAGCCGTATGGCTTAGCAAATCCTGCAAAGAAACCTTTGCAACAGATTCTGTAATTTGTACTCCTGTTGGTCTGCACTGCATCTTCGTTTGTTTTATTGCATCATAACCAGGATATATGTCGTTCCCGTACGCCTTATTTAGTTTCTTAGTATTAATATATTGTTGTTTTGTTAGCCCATTTTCCAATATATAGGCTAAGGCTACATTATTTGACATTTTTAAAGGCTCTTTGTTTGACACATTCTTAATTTTTTTTTCTATATTGACTTCCTGCTGCACGCCGACTGCTTCATTATTTTTTCTTTTTCGCGCAGATGTTGAGGCTGCATGCAGAAGTAAAGGAGTTGACATGTCATTTTCTATGGCAACTTCTAGAGCCATTTTCCTTCTAAGCCTTGACCCGGCCTCTGTATACCCTAATTTTGGGCGTCCTATTTTGGAAGGTGATGAATTTTTGGTATCCTCCATATCGATTCGTATTTCAAAACTTTTTGAAAACCATTCTGAGTAAATCGACTTAATTTTATCCAGATCTGCGTGATGTTTGCGTAAATACCGTTTAATATGTTTTACAAAAATTGATACTTTGGCTTTTATTGCATTCATGTGCGATATGCTCAAATCATCTTTATTTATTTTTGTTAAAATAAACGACGTTACAGCGCTTGCGTTACGATTGTTGCCGTTCCAAATATCGGCAAGCTCGCTGTTGGTAATCGCAACAACAACTACAAGTGCATTTTTTGTATAAACGGGGGAAAACGGGGAAATGAGATTTTTACCAAATGAAAATAGACATTTAAGTTAGTAACTTGCCATTATTAGTTGCCTGCTCTGGCTTGCTCTTGATATAGAAATACTTCACGGAACACGATTACAATTGTTAAAATTTTAGTTCAAATACAACCAACAACAACACTGGACAAAAACAACAACACAAATATTTATGTACTTTTGCCATAACATACAGATTATATATACCTTGATCTTTGTTTTCCATACTAAATATATATATTAAACTGCATAAAAACATACGCACACTGATCAATTGCAGAAGTAAAATTTTCGCGGTAACTTTTACAATCGAAAGCTGCTTGCCATCAGCTGACTTTAAGAGGCTGCCACATAAAGAGAGTTGCCACCCAGCAAAAAACAAAAATTTTTTTAAGCTTCCTGAAGTGTTTACTATTAATAAATAACAAGGTTTTTTTAATATTCTATCATACATTTTTTGACCTTATGCCACTTTTTTGGGAAAATAGCCCAATGTGCAATGGTGGTTCTAGTTCGGCGATGGCTGCTACCTTTTCCGAAACTGTGCTATTCCTTCGCTAGTCACTCGATGACCAAGATACAACAGCTCTTTCTTGAAAAATTGGCACTTCTCCTGGTTTAACCTCAGATTTGCCTCCTTTAGCCGTCGGAACACTTCCTTCAGGTTAGCCTTGTGTTCTTCCAGCGAGCGCCCGATCACTATGATGGCATCCTGGTAAGCAAATGCGTGCGGCGACATTTCGGGACCGATCACCCGGTCCAGCACCCGTTGAAAGGTCGCAGACGCCGAATGAAGTCCGAATGGCGTTACTCTCCACTGGAATAAGCCTTTCCCCGGCACTGTAAACGCCGTATACTGCCTGCTGTCTGCTTTCAGTGGGATTTGCCAGTACCCATCCTTTAGGTCCAAGCTGCTGATGTACCGTGCTATAATTTATTCGGGGCATCGGGTAGGCATCCTTTATAGACTTGGCGTTGATTTGCCTAAAGTCGACGCACAGTCTCCTTTTGCCGGTCTTTTTTAAACCATCACGATGGGAGAGCTGTATGGGCTTGAGTGAGTGTTCTATATATCCCATTTGGAGTAGCTCGTTCACCTTCGCATTGATCTCCCATTGAACTTTCGGATTCTTGGGGTAGAATCTCTGCTTTATTGGTTTGTCGTCTTTCATCGTGATCTGATGCTCTGCCATGTTTGATGTTCCCTTCATGCTGCTGAAACTCGATAGCTCTGCCTCCAGGAATTTCATCGTGTCGTCATCTTCGCTTGCCTGTTGTACGACTGCCACCGATAGCTTCTCTTCGAGCCATCCCTTTTGTCGATTCCTGGTCGGTATTATCACTTCGTGTCCAGCGCACTTAATCTCGGTACCGACCTGTGTTAGAAAGTTACATCCCAACACCAATGAATCCACTACCCCTGTTAGTATCAGCAGGCTCATGCTCAGTCGCTTGTTCCCAAACGCGATTTTCACCTCCAGCTGCTCATCGATTCCGCCAGATCTTCCGTCTGGCAACCTAACTTGCCGTCGTATCCTCGTAATCTTTCCGAGGGCAGCCAGGTTGTCCGCCAGTTCTTTGCTTATAAAGCTTGCTGTTGCCCCGGTGTCGATTGTGGCCTTGTATGTGCCCCCGCCAATCGTCACCGCTGCGGACAACTGCTGCTCCTCCTCGATCAGCTTTCCCGTTAGTTTAGAGAAGTAGCATCTTGCGACCACCGCTCGCCCCTCTGCGGCTGAGATCGCTGGGCATTTCCCGCCTGCTGGCAGCATTCGACGCTCCTGACTCCTACTCTTCATACTCATCTGCTAATATCATCAGCGTGTCCAGGTCCGACACTTTGTACCGCCTTAGGAAGATCCTTAGACTTGGGGTCCTTAGGGTATCTTTCGCGGAATAATCAATTGGCCTCACCATTGTCTGCATGTCAATCATGTAGTCTTTGAACGACTCACTGGCCCTGCTTCCGTTGCCTGACCTGATCCGCCAGCCTGATGACGAAGTCTCTCGGCAGAAAGTATGTGTGGAAACTATCTATGAACTCCGCCCAGGTTTTCCATTGTTTGTTGTTGGCGATAAACCACTTCAGAGCCCTTCCTTTAAGCAATTCAGGCATCGGTCGGGGAATCATGTCTAACTCCAAGCTGTATGTGTTGGCGGACCATTCCACCTGCTCCAGGAACTCGAACGGTTTTTCCGCCCCGTCGAAACTGAACGACCATTCGCGGAACTGTTAAGCGATCCTTGCATAGTCTGACTGACTGGGTCCCGAGATCAGCGCTGTTATTTTCCTGTCTTGGCTTGATTCTCTCCTGTTTGCCTCTTTTTGTAGGTTGTCAACGCTCAGGCTTGCCACTAAGTTGTCCCCTTCGGCGTTCATTAACGTGATGCTCGGGCCGGCTTTGTCGTGGCTTGTACTTCAAACTCGGCCCAGATGTCAACGAGTTGTGGGTCTTTATCCGTTTCTGAGTAATACTCGGATAATGCCTACCCACGTCTTCTAATCTGCCGTCCAGGGTGACATTAAGCCTCTGTGCGACATGGGCGAAGTCCTCCTTCTTAAGGCGGTAAATACACTTATTTCCCATTTTTATTGTGCTGTTCACACTGTTGGGACAATCACGTTGGGCGCCAAATGTAACGAACTGATTTTGTTGTCTGCTCGCTACGAGATTCGTGCGGCTAG